TGTATTAGAATGTTCTAGTTAAGCAGGATGGTGGTTTCACAGGGGTTCATTTGTTGTAACGCTTCATAACATACATATATATGTACATGTCATGTATCGTTTGCAAGAAGAGATTTTCATTTAATGCAGTACTCAACTAAAGATAAAGTCTTTTTCATGTTTTTGTTTGGAGGGTAAGGCAGAAATAACATGGCTTGCAATAACATGGATTAGAAAGTGCCTCTTTTATAGAGTGACTTTTGGGGGTCACCTGGTCCTACCTCTCCAGTCAGTTTTCTCCTCTACGGTGGCTGAGTCTCAACAGGAGCCTAAAATTGGAGTGAGGACAGGATGAGCAAAGCTTTCCTCTGATGCCTCTCTGGGCTGTCTCAGGTGCACCCAAGCAGTTTCCTCATCTGTGCAGTGATGAGTTTGAGTATATCACTTTTTTTTAAAACTGTGAAACAGTAATTTGAATATCTATATTTCTTTCTTTTCTATCGAAATATAGTTGATTAACAATATTGTGTTAATTTCAGGTGTGCTGGGTAAATCACTTTCTAAAATAGTCTTTTAGATTGTTTTTAATCATTTTAAAGATTGTTTACTCCAATCATCCTAATTTTTATTACTGTTGTAACAATAATATAAGATATTATTAGCATTTTATCCACAACATACACTAAAGTTTTTTTATAGTTATTACTTCAAATGAATGATGAATTCTTTATAGTAAGAAAAACAGGTAAACAACCTAAATGTCCAGTTATAAAGGAGTGGTCAAAAAGCATGCAGCCATTAAATACTATGTTTATGAAGAGAGTATAGTAACACAGAAGGTACTTAAATCATTAAATGAAAAGCCATGATAGTTTATAAGATCCCAGCTAACAGTACAAATGAAACCTATGTTTTAAAATAAGCTGGAAGGAACTAGACAACAATGTTAATGTTAGCTTCGTGTAAAGATACATGTTTTTTCTTCCTAAGTTTTACTCTTGTAATGGAAGGAAAACCTGCTCAATTCCAAACGCTCTTGAAAACGAAACGTGATTGGCTATATTGGCTTTTAGGGAATTGGAGACACCCACAGAGGTGTTCCATAAAAGGCAAGGTGGCAACTCAGCAATGGTAACAAGATCATTGTTCAGAGTTCCTGTGTTTCTAGCTTTTTATGTCTTAATTCTGAATCCAACTGACTCCTCAACTGCCCCCAACACACACACACACACACAAGTAAATAAAGACACGCTCCCCTTGAAGAGGTATTACTGTCATCTCAGCCCCCCTACATTTTTCAGCTGTAGCTAGCCGTATACTCTGTTCACTGTCTTTTCCCTGAAGGTCTCGGTAAGCTGGAAGAGATGAGAATTTGAATGCTACTCAGATTATCTCTGAAAAGCCATGCCTATTCTCAGGATGGTCTTACAGTGAGCCAACCACAAAGCCTAGATTATCAGAGGCCATCTTAATTCAGACCACTTCAATGTCAGGCAGGTCACCCCAGTTCTGGGGCTCAGAGGATACTGTCATAATTTTATCACAGTGCAGGGTTTTGTTTTGTTTTGTTAATAAAGAAAGATTTAGTACTACTTTAAAAGTTTGGTGGTAAAGTATGGACAGGATTGTGGGGAAATGGGGATGTAATTTAATAGAGCCACTTTGGAGATCCTATTAAAATGGAAAACAGCACACCCTACGGCACAGTGATTCCTCTTCTAGCCATTTATCCTAGAGAATAATCACACATGTATACAAGTGGACATGGTCAAGGATTTTGATCACAGAAATGTTTGTTTTTATGAAAAATTGGAAACCACCAAATGTCTCTCAATAGGGGAATAGATTTTCAAAAGTTCATATATTCATAGGGTAGAAAATCCACAGCAGTTAAAATCCACAGCAGTCCATATAGCATATGTATCAACATGGATAGATCTACATGTGGGCAGGAAAAACACAGATCTTTGAGGATTTACAATAAGTGGCTATAGACTTATAATTCCCATAAGGATATATATCAAAACATGTTGTTGAGTGAAAAGAGCAAGTTCCAGAATGACATCTATAGTATGATACCATTGGGAGTTCTCTGATGGCCTAGTGGTTAGCATTCCAGGCTTTCACTGCCATGGCCCGGATTCAAGCCCAGGTCGGGGACTTGACGTCCCCCAAGCTACATGGTGCAGCCAGAAAAAAAAAAGTATGACACCATTTCTGTTAAAAAGAAAAAACAGACAAACTACAGCTATACTTCTTGATAAGTACGGATATACATAGGCAGGCAGGTACATAGATAGATAGATAGATAGATAGATAGATGATAGATAGGTAGAGATAGAGATATATGTAAGAGTACAAGAACATTCTAGAAGGAAACACATTAAAATCATAACAAGGGTTATATCTGAGGAAAGACAGAGGGGACTGGGACATGGGGTGGGAAAGGTGAAAGGGGATTCCAGTTCATTGGAGATATTCTAATTTTTAAAGGTAAGTGGATTCCAGAGTTACTTGTGTATTTACAATTACTTTTTTAAAGTCTCAGCAATTACTTAATCCTCTAATATATTTATTACACCTCAGAAGCTAAAAACATGGAGCCTTCCATACGAGAACATTTCCTAGGGCAACACACCCACCTCTCCACTCCCTGCCCCTCCACCCTCTCCACATACAGCACTCCCACTCAACCAAGTTCACTGGTGTTCTGAGAGCGTGCCCCAAAGCCTTTGCTCACCTTTGCAACCCTCCCGGGCACCAGAGCGAATCCCATTGGCCATGCCTGTTTGCAGAAAGAGTCATGCCAGCAAACACTTAGCTGTCCGAGTGCCCTGCGTTATCAATGGTCACATGGATTGTATCCCTTTCCCTGCTGATTTTAAGAGCAAAGTATTCGAGAATGTGGCACCGGCCAAACCAATGGGAGAAAAGAAGACAACCCACGTTCCGTACCTGTCAAAGACCACTGCGGAATAAGCCCGCTCGGCAAAGATGACGTCAGCAGCCCAGAACTCCTTAGTGGCCTTCAGACCTCTGCCTTTGCCCTCAGAAGTGAAGACCTCCACGTTCTCCATTCCCCCTATTGTCATCTCAGAACCTTCGGGCAGCTCAGCAGATATTTAACACTGAGCCAAGTCCCTTGTCCTCGCTGCTATTTCAGCACCTTCAGCATCCCAACAGCAGGACTATAAATGGACAGGCACCTCCCCTTCCCTACCCCCTCTCAGCCACTGGGCCCTCACTCCCCCTCTGCCTCTTTTCCTGGAGACGGATGGGCCAGGCCAGAGGGCAGTGACCTGGAAAGGGTCCCATTCACCGCCCAGCAAAACTGACAAAGTAGAAAATGACCATGGGCTGGTGTGCTTCTCAAATTGGGCCTGAAAGCTTTTGAAAAGTTCCTTTGCAAGGAGTAGTTAAGTCCTGGATTGCAGTCATGCCCAGCTGTAGTTGGAATAGGCAGCACTTGGTCAGTAGGGTATTTTTAGCAGCCAGATGCCTCTGTCAATCCAAAGCAGACAGCTGAAATGGTCCAAGAGAAGAGGCGAGGTGATGCTTGCTGCTCTGGGACCCTTCAGCTGTCAGCCTTGGACTTTCTCAAGTGAGATGGGCCCCTTGTTTCCCTACTCCCTCCCCCACGGGTAGATTGTTGGCAGAAAGCAGCAGATGCTAAATTGACCCCTTTGCCATGTATATAACAGAACTATTTAGGCTCCAAGGGACATCCCTTTTCTCCAGTATTACCTGGGGCTCCCACAACATCCCCGCCTGGGGCATGGAGGTCTGAGCGTTCCCTGATGATGTATTACTCAGGCTGTATTATGAGAGGAGGTAGGCCTTGAAAATGAAAACCCTCGTGTCTATCATTCTATCAAATCTCCCTTAAATTGGTGTCTGCTGCCAGAAAAATACCAATACCTTCTTCTTTCCCAGGAATAAGGACATTGGAAGGATTATTCTAAAATCTCTGTTGAACTAAATGCTACTCATCTTGATCTCCAGGCAGCTCTCACTGATTTTGAAAAGAAAGACATTTGCAGATCTGGAGCTATGGCTTATCTTCAAGGTAATATTTTTAGTTTCAGGGATGTATCTGTTTACAGATTTCTGTGCTCTGGGTTTCTGTGAGTGTGGTAGCTTACAAGCACTGGCTTCTGAGTCAGATAGATCTGTGTTTGACTTTTGAGCCTACTAGGACAACTTTGAGATAGTACCTGTAAAACAACAGTGATAATTTCTACCTCACTGGTAAATGAGATAATATATACAAAGGACATAGCACAGCACTTGGTACTTAGTACAGAACCTATTAAATGATAGCAAATTTATTTTATTTATTCTGTCACGTTATCTTCCCCAAACCATCAAGATATGCTAGGAATTCTAATGTGTCTTTAACCAAACTGCATCTCCTGAGACTTCTTTGACTCTTGGAAGCAGGTGCAGAATCCTCTGTCAGACCACGTATCCCAATTTTTAGGTCATAACACATAGCCCCTGGAACCAGAGAATAACTCAGTGACTTCTGATGTATCCAAAAGACCAAAACACATTAAGACCTTTAAAACTGGGTGCCCCCAAAAGTCAACATCACATGCTCTCAGGGGAAAAAAAAAATGATTAAAGAAAATGATTTCTTTAGCTTAGTTTCAAATGAATGCCTGCATCCACATTGCCTGGCAACAGCCAGAGTCCACCCTTGGGAGCTAGCAGCTCAGCCTGGTAGGGATGGTGTCGTTTTTCTCTACACACTTATACCCCTGGAACAGGTTCAGCCCAAGCCAAGGTCAGGGAAGAAACCTACCTGCCCCAAGTCAGAAAGAGAAAGGGAGCATCAAACCCAGTGCTTTAGGTTCAGCTGAGTCTCAACCTTATCAGAACAACAAGAATTATATTATTAAAGTGTGGTAGACAGAATAATGGTTCCCCAAAGATGTCCAGGTCCTACTCCCCAGACCTGTGAATCTGTTACTTTACATAGCAAAAGGGACTTTGCAAATGTGATTAAATTAAGTATCTTGAGAGAGGGAGATTATCCCTGGATTGGATGGTCCAAGAGGGCCCAATGGAATCACAAGAATCCTTATACGAGGAGGTTAGGGGGGGTCAGAGTCAGGTGGAGATGTAACAGTGGAAGCAAGAGGGTCAGAGTCAGAGAGACAGTTGAAGATGCTATACTGTTGGCTTTGAAATTGGAGGAAGGGGCTATGGGCAGAGAAATGCTGGCACCCTCTAGAAACTAGAAAAGGCAGGGGTACAGCTGCTCCCCCAAGAGCCCTCAAAGGAAGCATGGCCCTGACGACACCTTGATTTAAGCCCAGTGAATCCCATTTCTGGCTTCTGACCAGCAAACTTTAAGATAGTAAATTTGTTATTTTATGCCACTAAGTAATTTGTTACAGCAGCAATAGGAAACTAACACATAAAGTATTATACTTAGTTTCTCATTATAGTAAGTATCATATAAAATCCCTTTTGCTGGGCTTCCCTGGTGGCCCAGTGGTTGAGAGTCCGCCTGCCGATTCAGGGGACACGTGTTCGTGTCCCGGTCCAGGAAGATTCCATCATGCCGCGGAGTGGCTGAGCCTGCGCGTCCAGAGCCTGTGCTCCGCAACGGGAGAGGCCACAACAGTGAGAGGCCCGCGTACTGCAAAAAAAAAAAAAAAATCCCTTTTGCTGCTCTGAAATAAAATTCACACAGAATTTATCAGTTCTTAAAATTAAAAAACATAAATTACTAACTCCTATAGTCTGAACGTTTGTGTCCCCCACCAAATTCATATGTAGAAATCCTTACCCCCAAAGGTGATGGTATTAATAGGTGGAACATTTGGGGGGTACTTAAATCATGAAGGTGGAACTCTCATGAATGAGATTACATAGCGCCTTATAGAAGAGCCTCCAGAGAGATGCCCTAGGCCCTTCTCTTCTGCCATGTGACGACACAAGGAGAATCCTGTGACCTGGAAGGGAACCTCCTGCCAAACATGCTGGCACCCTGATCTAAGACTTCAAGCTTCCAGGAATGTGAGAAATAAATTTCTGTTGTTTACAAACTACCCAGTCTTTGCTATTTTGTTGTTGCAGCTCAAATGGACTAAGACATTGGTCTAACCTAATAAGGGAGAAATAAAAATGAAAGTTAAATTATAATAAAAGTATATATATTCATTGTAAATTAAATGTGTCAATGTGCTCACAAGACACATGCTTGAGTACAACTACACTAGAAAACATGATAAAGTAGTCAGGTGTTTGCACCTCTAAGAATCACTATGATAGTGAGAGCTAAAGATGTAGGTTGATTTGGGGAACACAAATACCACACAAGGCATTGTTGTCTGTGACATGATTTTCTGAAATGGTGAGTGACTCCTAGTAAGTTCTGTATGAAAGAAAGTATGATCTTTCTTCAGTTAACAAGAAGTTGCCTTCCTGGAAAATTTACCATACATTGAAACTTTACAAAAACTGCTCTAAGATTACATAAAACAGAGTTCTAGACTCAGATAATTATAAACAAGATTTTGAAAGCAGCTCTTTTGCCCCTTTCCTGTTTGCCCATTTCTGTTCCCCTCTAACCTTGAAAGAACCTAATTATAGGAATGAGATCACTAGGCAATTTAACCTAACTCCTGATTTATGTTCTCCTGAATGCACACCATGCTTTGTCTAATCTGTTGATATTTTTCCTAGGTAAAAAGATGTAAAAATGAAGAATTAAACAGTTAACAAATGACTAGCTCTCTACCTCCAACAGCCCCCTTAAGCAATCCTGCAGGTAGATCACGCAGGCAAGATCACATCTGAAGAAAGAGTCAGCCAGTCTACCTAATGGAGAATGATGCAGAACCCAACCTCCTGCCTCCATGATTCACTGAGATTCTTCCCCTTTTTCCCCTTTAAAAACTGTCCCGGCTGAGAAGAATCTTCAAAGTTGACCTCTGGACGTGAGTCCAGCTTTTCCCCAGATTGCCATCTTTTCTGATTAAAGTATCCTTCCTTTCTACTGATGCTTGCCTCTCAAATTATTAGCTTTTGAGCAGCGAGCAGCCGAACCTGAGTTTGGTAACAATTTTACATAAGTGAAATACACATCTGGATATTTGAAGTTGTATAGGATGGGCAGAGAAACTTTAACGTACAGGGCTGTCCCTTGCTTCCCAGGACATCTAGCACCTCTGGCCAGGACCAGTGAGACAGGGGATATCGGCTCTGGTTATCAGGCTGGTGAGAGGGAAGGGAGCACAGGGCCCTGCTATATTACGTATTAACACAAATCCTACGTAAACATTTTTTGCTCATCTGCCCCCCTCCAGTTCTTTTTTTTCCCCACTGGGATCCAAACCTTTCTTGCTGGCCCTAGCCCTGCCCACAATACGTGAGTAGCAGCCCTCAGTCATCATGACAACCAAAAGTTACCCCCACGTTTCTACCCCCCTAACTAGTGGAACTGCCTCCATCGAGAATTGCTGGTCTTCGTCATCAGGAAAAGCACATCTAGAGTTTTGAAAGGCTTTCTTATTGCTCTACTGGGGCTGTTTAGCCAGAGAAGAAAAGATTCAGGAAGGACATGAGACCTTTCTTCAACATCATTCATCACAGTATGGAAGAAGAGATTCATTCTGCATTTCCTGAGAAAGCAAACTAGGAGGCCAGAGTGGACATAACCATACGGCAATGTGGTTTAGCAGTTAAGATCGTAAACTTGAGATTCACAGACCCCCCACAATCATGTTTCTGTTGAGCCCTTTTCTGCTCCAAAAAGATGGAAGCTTTTTCCATTGTTAATGATTTTAATAACCATCCGGTCTCTTTCTTTGGTGTGTCTGGATAAAGAAGGGTGGTGAGAAAAGAAGAAAAATGAGACTGTTCAAGTCAAAGGACCCCTGGTCCAGGAGAGTGGTCTGAGCTGGGAGATTCCAGACAAGGGGTGATGAGAATGACCATTACGGTCCCATTCACCTCTCTTTTAGCTGAACTTCCCTCCCCACTCAGGCCACACACACATGCCAAGGACATTACTATGGCTACTGAGTACTCCCATACCCTAAAGAAGGTGTGGGGCAACTGTTGGCAGCATGTGCTAAGCAAGGGTAATGCTGGATCCCCAGTCATGCACCTTAAGGGCAGAAGGTTAGACTTCCCTGGCAGTCCAGTGGTTAAGAATCCGTGCTTCCACCGTAGGGGCAAGGGTTCAATCCCTGGTCGGGGAACTAAGATCCCACATGCCGTGCTGTGCAGCCAAAAAAAAAAAAAAAAAAAACGGGTAGAAAGAGGTGCTGTGAAGAGAGGACAGGACTGAGGGCTGTTTTGGAGAGAGTTAGTAGCATAACATCACAAGACTAGACATGGGTTTCAAGTAGCCCTTACTATAAGCTCCACTGGTTAACTTTCATCTTAGATAGGATCCGTTCCCAGATTTCACACTGCAGCCCTAAAATCTTTAACCATATTCTGTATTTTTATCATTGTCCTGGATCTTCAAGCAAATAATCTCAGAGGTCTTAAGAGAATGATTGTGTTCCCGTCAGTTGGATATGCTGCAGTTCAGGGAATATGTACAAATAAGTGTGAAGGTGGAGAAATGAAACCTCGAGTAACCGTTTTGAATCATTGAGACAGTTTGTGTGCCTGTGTTAACAGCGCACTGGCAGATCTACCACAACCTGGAAAAACTCCAATCGTCCCTTCTGTTGAAAGGCTCACTGTCTGAGTCACACATCTGCAGGGACCACCATCTGGTGGCAAATCAAGGGAGCTGCAAGATTTTAAATCTTTTTCTAAGGCCTTTTTCAGTAGAACAGCCCTTTATCATTGGATTCGACCTTCCTTCGTACCCAGAGCTAAGATTCATTTACGCCAGGGGTCAACAAGTTTCCTTTGGGCCTGTGAACTAAGAACGGTTTGTACCTTCTTTAACGGTTGGGGGGAAAAGTCAAAAGAATATTTTGTGACACATGAAAATTATATGAAGTTCAAATTTCAATGATGACATATTAAATTGTATAAGAAAACAGCCATACTCACTTGTTTACATATTTTCTATGGCTGCTTTCACACTACAACAGCAGAGTTGAATATTTGCAACAAAGACCATAAGGCCCACAAGGTCAAAAATATTTACTGTCTGGCCTTTTACAGAAGATGTTTGCCAATCCTGCTTTAGACCAATAACAGCTAATGCCTAGCAGTGTTAAATAAGCCAGGGGTTGCCCACTGCTTTCAAGTGTATTCACTGGCTGATTTAGTCATTCATTGCATAATCACAGGATCAAAGAAGTTCTTGTGCACACCTAGCACTCACATTCCAGAATGACAGGAGCAGGCTCCCTCCTGAATAGTCCATTATATCCTGTATAATTATATCATTGACAAAACGTTACACTCTCTCTGGTCCCTGTGTTCTTACTTGAGCAGCACAGCTGTTTCCATCGTTCTTCCTTCGCTCTTAGAAAACCTTAGCTCCTAACTGCTTTCCTCCCAAGAATTCCTAAATTCACTCATTCCACATGCCTTTATCAGCACACGTACCAGGTACTATACTCAGTGCCCCGATACCAAGATGATTAAAACGTAGGCCCTGTATCTAAGACATTGACCATTTAGAGAGGATTATGGAAAAGCATATAAAGATGGTGAGAGAGATGTAGGAGGCAAAGGGGAAAGGGTACTTAAGGCAGCCTGAGGAATCAGGGAAGGCTTCAGAGAAGTAGCAGACAGGGATTAAGTGCGGAGGGGAAGAACCAGAACTGGAGGAGACCATTTCAAGCCCAAGGACACAGCAGCAGGAGCAGAGATGTGCAGGTGAAGAAACAGCATGACATGGGCAGAAAATTACAATCGGCTAGGTATTCTGGCAGCTACAAAAGCACATGTATTATACCTTCTTTATCATTCTGGCACCAGACTATCACCCTTTATGTCCCAGCTTTTCATATACATTTGAGAGATAGTCTAACAGCAAGAATTAATGTTTGAACGCTTGAAATTGTGCTTTATTTGCACTACCTTATAGGTTTTCACAGCACCCTTTGAGGTGGGTATTATTGAGCCCTCCTAGATAAAAAGCAGCAGCATCTCCTAAGTATAAACCCCAGAGAAACTCTCAGGTGTGTGCACAAGAAGACTGTCCAAGAAGGTTAAAGCAGCACTGTCTGTAGAAGCAAAAATGGGAAATAAGCTCATAGTCTTATGAAAGGAGAACGGATAGCTCATGTGCATTCCTTCAATCGATGTTATAGAGATGTGAAAGGGAATGAATTAGAACCTCACATCTCAGCAGAGGTTAACATCAAAAAACAATGGTGAAGGGCTTCCCTGGTGGCGCAGTGGTTGAGAGTCCACCTGCCGATGCAGGGGACGCGGGTTCGTGCCCCGGTCCGGGAAGATCCCACGTGCCACGGAGCGGCTGGACCCGTGAGCCATGGCCGCTGAGCCTGCGCGTCCGGAGCCTGTGCTTCACAACGGGAGAGGCCACAACAGTGAGAGGCCTGCATACTGCAAAAAAACACAAAAACAAAAAACAGTGGTGAGTGAAAAAAGCAAACTGTAGGGGAATAAACAGCAGGCATAATAACATTTATATGAAGTTTTAAATCATGTAAAGCAATACTTCATGTTAGTTAGGGATAAATACGTATGTAGTAAAAATATACATATAAAGAAAGGCATGGGCTTCCCTGGTGGCACAGTGGCTAAGAATCCACCTGCCAATGCAGGGGACACGGGTTCAAGCCCTGCTCAGGAAAGATCCCACATGCCGCAGAGCAACTAAGCCCGTGCGCCACAACTACTGAGCCTGCGCTCTAGAGTCCACGCGCCACAACTACTGAGCCCACGCGCCACATCTACTGAAGCCCGATTGCTCTAGAGCCTGTGCTCCGCAGCAAGAGAAGCCCACGCACTGCGATGAAGAGTAGCCCCGCTCACCGCAACTAGAGAAAGCCTGTGCACAGCAACGAAGACCCAACACAGGCAAAAATAACAAATAAATAAAAATAAATAAATTTTTTTAAAAAGGCATGAGAATGAGAAATACTGAATTCATTATCGTATTTACTCCTAAGGGGAGGAAGAGTTCTTTAGGAAGTAGGGAGAGGGTGTTTCAGGAAGAAGCAGAAGATACAATAAACTGAGTTATTCAGTAGCTTGGTATTTAGGGGAATCAATAAAGGTTTAATGTTGCTGAATCATCAAGTGAATGCAGGGTGGGGAGGTGAGAACAGTAGGAAGATAATGATATCAGGCAGGTGCACAGAGGTCCAGGAATAGCAGTCATGTTTAACTTTCTCCACCAGAATACGGGGAGCCAGGATGACTTCCAGATGGAACCCTTTGGCAGTATGGAGAGTAGATTGGAGGGGTGAAATGAGAGGAAGGATAAGTTAGGCAGCTATTGCCATGGCACTAACAAAAGATGATAAGAACCTGAAATTGGTCAACAGTAGGGTGACACGAAAGGAGAGCATACCCAAGAGAAACTTGCACAGTGCACCCAGGGACATGCCCATCAACAGGAAAATGGGTGGAATTTGGTACAGCAATTAAATGAATAAATAACAGCTATATGCAACAGCTTGGATGAACCTCCAAGTGTCCAGTGAAACAAGTTCCAGAATACTTCTAGAGAAAGACATAAATCTTATGAGATTCAGAAACAATCTAAACTTTTTTTCATCACACATATATATGATAAAGATATGTACATATGGGGATTCCCCTGGTGGTCCAGTGGGTAAGACTCCATGCTCCCAAGGCAGGGGACCCGGGTTCGATTTCTGGTGGAGGAACTAGATCCCGCATGCATGCCGCAACTAAAAGATTTCGCGTGCTGCAACTAAGACCCGGCACAGTCAAAATAAATAAATATGTATATTTTAAAGATACGTATATTCATATGAAAGGAAATGATGACTACAAACCATGGTAATGATTTCTTTGGGAGACAGGGAACGAATGGATGAATGTGTGTGTGTGTGTGTATATATATATATATATATATATATATATATATATATATATACACATACTATATATATATATATATATATATACGCATATACTGAGGGAGCCAGAAGGAGAGAGAAAAACGTCACTTATGGAGCAATGATGACAACGTATCATAACCAAGAATTTTGCTCAGTCTACACTGTGTATTAAAGGTTCTAACAAAGAAAAGAGAAGCTGATAAAGCAGGAAAGCATATATTTTTCAGATATTTTAGAGGTAGAATCCGTAGATTTCCTGACTTTTTTTCTTAGTGGTTTGAGATTCACTCTCCCAAGGTGAGCGGCCCCACGAGCGTTCCCTTCCTTCCAACGGAGAGACCAGGAGCAGCCGAAGCACGGCAGGCGCGAGCCAGGTTAGAACCGAGCCCCGCAAGTAGCGGACGAAGGGGGCGGGGTAAACAGGAAGGCGGGGCTAAACGGGGCTTTCTGGGAGCGGGGCTGCTGGGCAAACGCAGTAGCGCGCCTCGCCGCTATGGCGGCGGCGACTTCCCCTCAGGAAGTCCGGTCTCCGCCTCCTGCCCCCACCCAGCTAGCTCGGCGGCGGAGGCTGCGGTTGTCCCTGCCTCTCCGCCTACTCCACCTCGGCCTACCCACCGGCCGGCGGCGTTGGCGGGGAGGGGGACAGTAGTTGTAGACGGCCGCCCCTGCCTCAGAGAAGGTGAGTTCCCGCCCCGGCAGCGGGGGCGGCCCAGGCGTTAAGCCCCTCGACCTCACGGCCCGGGAGAGGCCGGGCGGGCCCGGAGAGTACGCTCCCCTCTCCACCCGCCACCCCCGGAAACTGGCGCCGGAGCCCCCAAGCGGACCGCTGCCGGGGAAGCTGAGGTTGGAGCGGGAGAGAGGCGACCAGGCCGAGGCCGTGGATCTGAAGCGTCAGGGAGAGGGAAGGGGGTGATGAGGACACTCGGAGATCGAGGAGAGAAAAGGCTCCAGACGTGGAAGGGCGTAGACCTGCGCAGGGTGAAATCAACATCCTGGAAAGTAGAGACGTCGCTCACACGGGGGAAGTGGAGTCCGGAGTTCGGGGAGAGTAGGAAGTAAACACGCGAGCTTAAAGGTGCCGGGCCCTAGAGGAGAGAAGGGGGTGAGGCTTTTGAGGGATCACACTGTAGAGTTTGCCCGGGTTTTTGAGGATAACGCCGTGTAAAACAAGCCTCTAAGGTTTACAGCCCTATCTTGACAGTGGTCTGAGTTTTAATATGTACCTGCCAGCGTCAAAGCTAATAAAGCAGGACATCGGGGCGGCGAAAACAGCTTTTATTCAGTAACTACTAACAGTAGGAAAAGAGCTGAGCTCCATTCCGATTTGCGCAGAGGTGTCCGGGGGGTTTTAAAGAGAAAATGTGGGAATGGGGCAAGGTGGAGCTCAGAGGCAGGGACGTGCAGAATTACAAAGGGTTGTGGGTGGTGTCCTTGCAGCAGGCGAGCTGTGTCAGTTTGCTGGCAGTTACGGAAGTGAGGATTCTGTTTTCCCACAGGGACTGGGAGACAGAGGCCCTGTCCTTCCTGATGATTACACTGCAAAGGAATGGCTTCCAGATCCTTGAGAAAGACACTCCTAAGTTGTAGGAGGTACACACACACATCCCAGAGGGACAGAGCAAGGGTTCACAATCGTAATCCCTTTTTAGTTAAGTACTAAAGAGAGGCCAGGGACCTGTCATCAGGTGTTGGCTAGAACAAACAGTAAATGTCTTTTGACAGCCCCAAGTTTTTCCAGATGTGAGCTCAAAATGGGGCTGGTTCATCTGAGGGCCGTAGCCACAGGCTGCTGGAGGCCAAGTTAAAGTTTGGTCAAGCCTTTGTGCAGAAGTTTGGAAGGAGTATATCTGCCTAGAGTTTTCACCAGCACATTTTCCCTAACACAAAAAGCTATTTCTTGATCATCTCAATCTAAGAGATGTTTGAGTTTCTACAGTTACTGTATACCTGCAAACAAACTGCTGGTTCCAAACCCTGAGTTTAGGCTTTAAGGAAGTTTTGGAAAGGATTTTAGACGGTGGAGCTTGATCCCACTGCGGAAGATCTAGTAAAACATTACGCCATCTTCATTTTCATAATTAATTTCTAGTATTTGCAGTGTTGCCTTATGTTGCTTTTCGTCTCCCGAGAGAAAGATGGTGGAAGCCAGAACATTGTTGGATAATTTAATTTATTTTTTCCTGAGGGACAACAGTAAATATAGTAACTTCATTAAAATAATTTTTATTTTCATCCTCTTCCACAATATACTCTATTTTTGTGTGGTATTCGATAATCTTTTATACCTTTCACTTGGAGGAATGGCAAACAGTAAAGTATTATAAATTTCTTAAAACATTTTGTAAGAGCTTTATAGAAATTCCATTCACTAAAAATGGAAATGAGAATTTCACTGCAACCAAATGATGTTCCATTAAGTCCCTTAGTGAAGACAACCTTTGGAATACTAGATTTAGTGTCTTCAATCAACCTGGGTTAGTATGATTGTTAGGATATTAAAAAATAAAATCTCTTGAACTTTCTGCTTTCATACCAGATTTCCTGCCTTTCACTAACAAGTAAGCCTGAGCAGTTTATAGGTGTCAAGACTACAATTCATTTTAGCTCCCCTGGCCACGTCACAGGAAGATTTGGAAACAGTTTCTTATGAGAAAAAAAACAAAAAAAAAACAACAACAAAAAAAACAGCTTTCTGCCAGACTTGGTTTTTTTGCAATGACTTTGAATATGTGCAATTACTAAACACTTTAAATCAGTTCACACGATGCTAGCAGTTACTTTTCTATACTGCTTCAAGGTGGTATGAGAATACTGGAACAGGAGTCTTGACTGTTAAGTTCTAATGCTAATTTCTTAACTAGCTGTAGGACCCTAAGTCCCAAACTTCCTGGACTTGAGTTTTGTCATCTGTGGGGAGGGGAGTTGGACTAGCCCAACTGAGTGGTTCTCAGATCAGGGGTGCTTTTGCCCCACCCCCTCCTCAGAGGACATTTAACAGTGCTTGGAGCCTTTTTTTTTCCCCCTTGGTTTTTGCCACTGGACAAGAAAGGGCTTGGTGATTACAGGTGCTACTGGCATCTACTTGGTATAGGCCAGAGATGCTGCAAACAACCTAAAATGCACAGGCCACCAACACAAACAACAAAGGATTATCCTACTGAAAACGTCAGTAGTGTTGAGGTTGAGGAAGTCTGCAGTAACCAAACTGAGCTCCTTGACAGCTCTAAAATTGTGAACTGTTTTTGCTGTTCCGTACTGATATTCTTTTCCATGGCCTGGCTGTGTACTAGAACAGCAGTTCATAAAACATGGAACTTTGACCTCTAATGGCCATCAAATGACATTCAAAGACTAATGAAGTCTGTTGAGTTATGCTTGAGACCACTAGCATTTGAAAAACAAAATACAGCTTGTTACCTAAAAATTACCTCTTGTCGCTTTGAGTAAATATCCTTAATTAACTTTTCAGTTAACTGCTACTTAACACATGGTAAATATTTGATATGCTGTTTAAAACACTAGTAGGAGTAGGACCCAAGGTATTTTTAGTTTAGATATTTATAAAAGCCTAACGTAATTGCCAATATAATAGTACATGAACAAGAAGAGAAAAAAAAAATTTGCTTAATACTTGGCCAGTATCTTTTTTTTTCTTAAAAGACTTTATTAGGAGATTCCTCCAAAAGGTATCAAAGAATTGGCATGCTTCCAGTTATTAAAATTCCACTCTCACTTTCAAGATCCTGATACTGTTAAAACTGCTGATCCATTTTCACCTATAGCTGTAACACTCTTATAAGGAGCTCCTCTATATTGGGCTTGATAATAAACAAAGGTCAGTAAGGATTAAGAATTAGCAATCAGGGAATATATAGACGGTGTAAGATTATCAATAGGAAATTGAGAAATTAAACTCAATCACAAAAACCCAAAGAAATATCACATGACCAGACTTATATGAAAAGCAATATACATTGCATTTATGGTCAAGGGAAAGATTTTCCAGGATACTTTGTAATTCATTCAGTCAAGTTTCTCAGATATTTTTGTTAATTAAAAATGTTCTACTGAGGGGCATCCCTGGCGGCGCAGTAGTTGAGAGTCCGCCTGCCGATGCAGGGGACACGGGTTCATGCCCTGGTCCGGGAGGATCCCACATGCCGCGGAGCGGCTGGGCCCGTGAGCCATGGCAGGCCCGCGTACCACCAAAAAACAAACAAAAAAAAGTTCTACTGAGTAACAATATTCCTAAGAAATCAGTAAAAACAAAACCACAGCAAACAGTTCTTGCTTATCTGCTTTTTAGGAAAAAAAATTAGACTCATTTTAAGAATGAAGAACATTTCTGAATTCTTACTGAATCATAAATCCATTTACATAGCAATTGCCAAAAATGTTCCTTTGTTTTCTTGACAGTAAGCAGAGATTCGAGTCAAATGACAGAAAATCTAGCTAACAGCCCTTCTTACAGTTATTCAGAAAACAGTTAGAGCTCCTACTATGGACCAGGTACTGTGTGTTAGGACAAGAGCATTCACAGACCCATTCACGTTTACTGATCTTTTAGAAGGACTGGCATGTATTTGATGGCATTCTGAGATAGGATGTCTGCCATGGATCCAAGTAAAACTAATTTCACAAGCAAGAGCCTTGAGCTAGCTAGCCATACTTAAAATTATTGATGTTCAAAGGTTTAGTTTAAGTTAAGACATTTTATGTTAAGTATGTAACTAGTGCCCATAATTAATGATTTTGTTAATTTCATCGTGTTTTGTCAATGGAAATATGCCATAGTAAATCCTCAGTTACTTTTATGGTTGTCGTATTAGTGTAAAATAGCTAGAGCTTGGCAAACTCATAGGTCACATACTAATCTCATTTCCTGAAAAGGCAAGGTTAATAACTAACACAGTTAAGAATATTCATGATGCTAACAGGTACACGCCGCATCTCTCAAAACTTCTCATATGGGATTTGACCCTCAAAGTCAAAACAAAAAGAAATAAAACAGCATACTTTGGTTAATGGTTTCTTTGGGGTTTTTTTGGTTTTTTTTGGCCGCACCACTTCAGCATGCAGAATCGTATTAGTTCCCCAACCAGGGATCAAACCTGTGTCCCCTGCAGTGGAAGCACGGAGTCCTAACCACTGGACCACCAGGGAGGTCCCAGCATACTTTGGTTAAGATAACAGAATCAGTTACCTAGTCTCCTAAAACTTAGTGCTGTGTTCTACTTAGTCTTTCCTAAGATTATAATGGTATTAAAAGATTGCAAATCTCAAGAGCCAGGAACAAGGCAAGGATATCCATCCTCAGCACTTCTTTTCAGTATTGTACTAGAGACCCTAACCAGTATAGTCAGACGAGAAAAAGAAAAACGTTCACAGATAGGAGAGGAAGAAATCACACTGTCTTTATTTGCAGATGCTATGATCATCTATGTAGAAAACCCCAAGGAACTTTGGGAAATGCTTCTAGAATAAGAAGTGAGTTTATCAAGGACACGAAATACAAGGTCAATATACAAATCCAATAGTATTTCTAAATGTTAGCAACAAGCAATTAGACACTGAGATTTTTAAAAAAATACTATTGCATCAAAAACCAAAATACTTTTGGATAACTTTAACAAAGTACAGTGAATGCTACATAACATTGCTGAGAGAAAGAAGATGCAAATAGTGGGGAAAATTGTCTTTTAATGCTTCTTAGTGAACTAAGTTTAAAAGTATAGGACCATGCCATTAATTTGGTATATTAAAGAGGAGGAATTTATTAAAAGGAACCTAATTACACCTAAAACTTAGCAAATTAACATTCCTAATTTTGCTCAAACATTTTTTTCTTCAGTGATTAAAGATATTTAATAAATATTTTTAAAACCTTTATGCTGTATTATGTTTTAATACCATGTCACAACACAAATCAAATAATGTGCTGTGGGCATGAAAAAATTTAGTAAATTTTTCACTCAAATTGAGTTGATTTGCTTGTTCAACCTATTAAACCTATTGAGGCATATTAAAAACATTTCATACAATGCAAAAGTTAAATTCAGGTTTTGCTATTTCCAAAAGGGTGGTTGGAATGTAACAAATTCTCTCTGACAGGTCTAGAATTAGGAAAAGTGGAGTGGTTCTTAGTATTTTATTAAGATATGAAGCATTTTTTAGACAGTTTTGAATTACGAGTAATTCATACTATTCATGTGTTTCATATTTAACTCAGTAGTTCACATGCAGTGTTTTTACTACTTTAGCTTCTGCAATGGCTTTAGTTACTAATATTGAAATAAAAAAGACCAAACCTTGTACAGCTATTCAATAACAACGTGCATAGTTTCACTTCTCCAAAATAAAAGATTCCATTTTCTTTCTCTTTCCACTATGATATCTTTCCTGGAAGTAAATGGCATTGTGAGTGTTGATCTATAACTAGGCTTGTAGTGTACAAATAGGAATGTCAAGTTTTCAGAATTTTGCTAGATTTTTTCCAAAAATTTTAGAAGGTACAACTGAAAAAATACTCCAGATTAGTTTCAGAAGAGACAAACTATTTCTTGCTTGAGACCTAATACCAGCTTGTAAATAGCCTGCATGTTTCTGCTTGACATTCCATATTCTTTTAGACATTATATGTAGCAGACATTAACACAGGACGTAAACTGAAATCTTTATAAAGAGTTGGTTTAAAATCAGAGCAATCAGAAAAGATAATAAGGGTCGAGTTGAACTTTCAGCTTTCATTAAAAAAAACAACAAGGGCTTCCCTGGTGGCGCAGTGCTTGAGAGTCCGCCTGCCGATGCAGGAGACGCGGGTTCGTGCCCCGTTTCGGGAAGATCCCACATGCCGCGGAGCGGCTGGGCCCGTGAGCCATGGCCACTGAGCCTGCGCGTCCGGAGCCTGTGCTCCGCAAATGGGAGAGGCCACAACAGTGAGAGGCCCGCATAACGCAAGAAAAAAAAAAAAACAAAAAAAAAACAAAAAAACAAAAAAACAAAAAAAAAAAAACAAAGTCCCTCTGAAACATGAGTTAGCTTGGAATACAAAGAATAGGTACTCCTGTCAGGTACTCCTGACCTGTTTACCCATAACCTTTTCTACTTTCCGTAGTTACTAGAATAATTGGTTGGAAAAACATTTCATTCTATCAGTTAAGGAGATGAAATCCTGAATAACAATAAAAACAGCTCAGCTGTACAGCACTCTCTGAGTACAGTACTGTACTCAGCTGTACTCTTCTAAGCACTTTACATTTACTAATTTCCTTAAGACACACAACAACTCTGAGGTGTATGTTATATCCTATGTTAGAGGTTGAGAAACTTGACCAAGGTCATATAACTAATAAATGCCAGAACTGACTCCAGAGTCCCTATGTCTGGCTCCTAGAAGCAGTGAGATAATTAACATAGTATGACAACCAGTAGTTCTGCATAGGTGACGAGATTTGTTAGGTGGGTGATATTTCTAGAAACAAAGCCAACACTTAAAACTCCAGTTTAACAAATTAAGGTAGAATTTTTTTTTCAAAACATTCATTATAGATCTTTAAGCTCCTCTCGTACACTTTACTGAGGTATACTTACAATAAACGGCACTTATTTAAAGTGTACAGTTCAATGAGTTTTTGACAGGTGTATACTCCCATGAAACCACCTTCATAAACAAAATGCCAAATGTTTCCACCACCTGCCCCTTTACAGTCCATCCCTCCCTCCACCCCTGTCCCTGGCAACCACTAATCTGCTTTCTATCATTATAGGTTAGTTTGCATTTCTAGAACTTTTTATAAGTAGACTCATAGTAAGTACTCAACATGATGATTTTGTGATTCATCCATGTTGTATGTCTTGCTATTTCGTTCATTTTTACAACTGAATAATTCTGTTGTATGGATATACCACATTTTGTTTACCCATTCCCTTGTTGATAGACATTAGGGTTGTTTCAGTTTGGGGCTATTACAAATAAAGCTGCTGTGAATATTCATGTACAGATCTTTGCATGGACATATGTTTTCAGTTCTCTTGGGCAAATGCATATGAGTGAAATGACTGGATCATATAGTAGGTATTTAACTTTTAAAGAAATTGTCAGATTGTAAAGTTGTACCATTTTAAATTCTAACTAGTAGTGTATGGGAGTTTCAGTTGTTCAGCATCCTTACCAACACTTGGTATTTTCAGTTCTTTTAATTTAGTCATTCTGATGATGGTGTAGTATTATCTCGTGGTTTTAATTCACATTTACTTGGCTGTTTATATTTTTTTTCTGAAATGTCTGTTCAAATCGTTTGCCCATTTTTAACTGAGTTTGTCTTATTATTGAGTCATAGAGTTCTTTATTTATTCTAGATATAAGTCCTTTGTCTGATGTATGAAATAAGAATGCGTTCCACCATTTTGTGGCTAACTTTTCATTTTTTTTAATGGAGGGCTGTGTAAAGCCCTGGAGATCAGAAAATATTTCAGGTTTTGTAAAAGCGGAGAAGTGGATTCCAGAACGTGGAAAAGTTTTACACCAGTTGGAAAGGCAGCCAAGCATATCAGTTAGTAACAGATTTTGGAGCCAGACTTCTCCCGTCATTTATTAACTGCAGTCACAGACATGTTCCTTAACTTTTCTATGCCTCAGTTTCCTCATCTATTAACTATGAATAATAACAGTACTTAGCCCGTAGGCTTCTTAGGACGATAAAATTAGTTACTATTCTTAAGTGCTGAAATAGTACCTGGTACATGGTAAGGGCAATGCTGGGTAAGTGTTACAGAACAAATTATTAATAGGTGACTTGTAAATGTAATACTTTGAAGTGACCATAAAAGGCAATTTCAGGTTTACTAAAAGTACAAGTGATGCCAGGCCTTATTTTCTTTTGTGAACCATCTGGTAGATCAGAGGAATGTTGTGGGATCATATTCTTCAGTGAGGACACTCAGTTTTCCGTGAGATTTTGGGGTATCCAGCAGTGTGCCAGGAGGTACTTGAAGTTTAAATGGCACATTTTATTTAAAGATTATTTTAAAACTTTTACATAAAATGGATGTTTTAAGGCTAGAATTCAAGAAGTTCACGAGTTTTTAAGGTTAATCATGAAACTTGAAATACATCTTTCTGTTATTGATCTCTAGGCTGTATACTCCCTAGACCTCCAGGCAATAAGAGTTCACTTGTCTGACTGTATAGAATGCTTTGGTCAAAATGATTGAGATTGAGAACAATTGCTGTAGAAAGAATAGTTACAATTTAGGAAGACATGTCATGTATTTTTCAAATATTAATAAAATGGAAAAATAAGACATTTATATAGTACAAATAGATTTGAATAATCAGACTCATAAGAAGGAAGATGGTGGGGAGCGGAGTGGAGAAGCATAGAGTGTTCACATAAAGATGCTGAATTTAATTTTGGAATAAACTCAGATTCTACGAAATTCTTAATGTCTTTCTTATTGGGAATGAATAGATCAATCCTAGATGAAGGAAAAAGGTGAATTCTTTGTAGCATGCCATAGGTATTATCTTACTGTCTTCCTACTTCAAGTTTTCACCAGTAACATGGATGAACACATAGACTGAATGCATATAAAAACTATGTGTGGGAAAAGTAGCAAATGTCAAGATTAAAACAATTTGAATTTTAAAGATCATCAGAGGTAGGAATGGTGGCCTAAACCCATTACAAGATGAAGTGTAAAGTCCTGCATTTAGAGAAATTAGTCAATTACATTAAGTACCAGATGGGAGAAGACAGCCAATGTGGGGAGAGAGATGCTTCCTCTGGGATTTTAGCGATTACAGAGGTCAGTAGAAGTCAGTAACATGTCTGCTGTAAGACACGAAATACTAAGGCTGGATGCCCCAGATCATTTCCATAAAGTCCAGAGTTCTACTGGTGCCCTAATAACTTCTCCTTCAGAATGGTATTTTCTGGGCTAAAAAATATATTACCATAGTAAATATCAGAGGCTTACTAGATGTTTTTATACTAAAATTGTCATTCTAATAAGCAAAAAGGCAGTACTTTAGCCTTGCAAGCACTTAGGAAATTAAGATTTGAGATGGTATATGAAATGATATCCAGTTGAAGATTGAAAATATTACCCCAAATGTCTTACCTCCCTTTATTTTATTCATAGATACCACGTTGAATGAGCAAAGACTGAACTTTTTACAGATACCTTTTGTAAAAGGCTTGTAAGGAATAGTGCCATAATTTGAATTACAGTGGATTTCACATTATGAGGTAGGTTAAAAATAAAGGACTTCTAAATTGTTAGTATTTTTGATACTGAAGCTGGTACTTTGACTTGAAAGCAAGCAAAACTCTTAAAAGTGTTAGTTCAGACCAAATATATTAAAACTCATGAGTGCTATCTTCAAATTCAGAGGTGTAAATTTTGGATCACTTTCTCTAAAATAAACAATATTGTTTATTTTTCAAGGGTAAAATACATACTCAAAAAGTTAGCTTTACTTTCAGATTTACAGGGAGCAAAATAAGAAATTGAAGATGCATTTTATGCGTTTTCAGATGATTGATCTATGTTGATGTAATTCTAAACTTTGAATTATTTAATTGTTATAACAAGATTCTGCTTGGTTTCAGGTGAATGGGAGTGGAGTATTGGACAAAAAATAGATTTTTTAATCTCTGCATCATGGTTTTTAGCTCCTCAGTTGTTGCACCGTCTCACTATTTGGGGAAAGTTCATGCTAAAAAACTGAAGCAATTAATGGGTGAATATGATCAAATTTCTCCACCAAGTTCTCAACCTGATAAGGGTAAGGTTCCATTCACCTCTTCATTGATCTCTGCACCATCTGTGATCTTCTGGGATTGGATTCTTTCACTCTGCATGTCTTCAAGGTTCATCCACGTTGTACTATTTATTAGTATTTCATTCCTTTTTATTGCTGAATAATATTCCATTGTGTGAATTGCCACATTTTATTTATCCATTCATCAGTTGATTATCACTGAGTCATTTCTGCTTTTAGCTGTTAGGAATAGTGCTGCTGTGTACATTTTTGTACAGCTTTTTGTGTGGACATAGATTTTCAGTCCTCTTGCGTTGAAACCTAAGAGCGAAATTGCTGGGGTTATGTGGTAACTCTATGTTTGACACTGTGAGGAACTGCCAAACTGTTTTCCAAAGTAGCTGCACATTTTATATTCGCACCAAGAATGAATGAAGTTTCCAGTTTTTCCTCCTTTTTGTCAACACTTATTATGATGTCTTTTTTTTTGTCTTTTTTTATACAGCAGGTTCTTATGAGTTATCCATTTTATACATATTAGTGTATATATGTCATTCCCAATCTCCCAATTCATCACACCACCCCCCCACCACCGCTTTCCCCGCTTGGTGTCCATACGTTTGTTCTCTACATCTGCATCTCTATTTCTGCCCTGCAAACAGGTTCATCTGTACCATTTTTCTAGGTTCCACATATATGCGTTAATATATGATATTTGTTTTTCTCTTTCTGACTTACTGCACTTTGTATGATAGTCTCTAGATCCATCCATGTCTCTGCAAATGACCCAATTTAGTTCCTTTTTATGGCTGAGTAATACTCCATTGTATATATGTACCACATCTTCTTTATCCATTCATCTGTCAATGGGCATTTAGTTTGCTTCCATGACCTGGCTATTGTAAATACTGCTGCAGTGAACATTGGGGTACATGTGTCTTTTTGAATTACAGTTTTCTGTGGATATATGCCCAGTAGTGGGATTGTTGGGTCATATGGTAATTCTAATTTTAGTTTTTTGTTTTTTGGGTTTTTTTTGCGGTACGCGGGCCTCGCACTGTTGTGGCCTCTCCTGTTGCAGAGCAACAGGCTCCATACGCACAGGCTCAGCGTCCATGGCTCACGGGCCTAGCCGCTTCGCGGCATGTGGGATCTTCCCAGACCAGGGCACGAACCTGTATCCCCTGCATTGGCAGGCGGACTCTCAACCACTGTGCCACCAGGGAAGCCCTATTTTTAGTTTTTTAAGGAACCTCCATGCTGTTCTCCATAGTGGCTGTATCAATTTGCATTCCCACCAACAGTGCAAGAGGGTTCCCTTTTCTCCACACCCTCTCCAGCATTTGTTGTTTGTAGATGTTCTTATGATGCCCATTCTAACTGGTGTGAGGTGATACCTCATTGTAGTTTTGATTTGCATTTCTCTAATACTTAGTGATGTTGAGCAGCTTTTCATGTGCTTCTTGGCCATCTGTCTCTCTTCTTTGGAGAAATGTCTGTTTAGGTCTTCTGCCCATTTTTGGATTGGGTTGTTTGTTTTTTTTAATATTGAGCTGCATGAGCTGTTTATATATTTTGGAGATTAATCCTTTGTCCGTTGATTCATTGGCAAATATTTTCTCCCATTCTGAGGGTTGTCTTTTCATCTTGTTTGTAGTTTCCTTTGCTTTGCAAAAGCTTTAAAGTTTCATTAGGTCCCATTTGTTTATTTTTGTTTTTATTTCCATTACTCTAGGAGGTGGATCAAAAAAGATCCTGCTGTGATTTATGTCAAAGAGTGTTCTTCCTATGTTTTCCTCTAAGAGTTTTATAGTGTCTGGTCTTACATTTAGGTCTCTAATCCATTTTTAGTTTATTTTTATGTATGGTGTTAGGGAGTGTTCTAATCTCATTCTTTTACATGTAGCTAGCTGTCCAGTTTTCCCAGCACCACTTATTGAAGAGACTCTCTTTTCTCCATTGTATATCCTTGCCTCCTTTGTCATAGATTAGTTGACCATAGGTGCGTGGGTTTACCTCTGGGCTTTCTATCCTGTTCCATTGATCTATATTTCTGTTTTTGTGCCAGTACCATATTGTCTTGATTACTGTAGCTTTGTAGTATAGTCTGAAGTCAGGGAGTCTGATTCCTCCAGCTCTGTTTTTTTTTTCCCTCAAGACTGCTTTAGCTATTCAGGATCTTTTGTGTCTCCATACAAATTTTAAGATTTTTTTGTTCTAGTTCTGTAAAAAGTGCCATTGGTAATTTGATAGGGATTGCATTGAACCTGTAGGTAGTATAGTCATTTTCACAATATTGATTCTTCCCATCCAAGAACATGGTATATCTCTCTATCTGTTGGTATCATCTTTAATTTCTTTCATCGGTGTCCTATACTTTTCTGCATACAGGTCTTTTGTCTCCCTAGGTAGGTTTATTCCTAGGTATTTTATTCTTTTTGTTGCAGTGGTAAATGGGAGTGTTTCCTTAATTTCTCTTTCTGATCTTTCATTGTTAGTGTACAGGAATGCAAGAGATTTCTGTGCATTAATTTTCTATTCTGCAACTTTGATTAGCTCTAGTAGTTTTCTGGTGGCATCTTTAAGATGCTCTATGTGTAGTGTCATGTCATCTGCAGGCAGTGACAGTTTTACTTCTTCTTTTGCAATTTGTATTCCTTTTATTTCTTTTTTTTCTCTGATTGCCATGACTAGGACCTGCAAAGCTATATTGAATAATAGTGGCGAGAGTGGACATCCTTGTCTTCTTCCTGATCTTAGAGGAAATGCTTTTAGTTTTTCACCATTGAGAATGATGTTGCTGTGGGTTTGTCATATATGGCCTTTATTATGTTGAGGTAGGTTCCCTCTATGCCCACTCTCTGGAGAGTTTTTATCATAAATGGGTGTTGAATTTTGTCAAAAGCTTTTTCTGATCTATTGAGATGATCATATGGTTTTTCTTCTTCCATTTGTTAATATGGTGTATCACATGGATTGATTTGCATATATTGAAGAATCCTTGCATCCCTGGGATACATCCCACTTGATCATGGTGTATGATCCTTTTAATGTGTTGTTGGATTCTGTTTGCTAGTATTTTGTTGAGGATTTTTGCATCTATATTCATCAGTGATATTAGTCTGTAATTTTCTTTTTTTGTAGTATCTTTGTCTGATTTTGGTATCAGGGTGATGGTAGCCTCATAGAATGAATTTGGGAGTTTTCCTTCCTCTGCAGTTTCACCTGTGAAGCCATCTGGTCCTGGACTTTTGTTTGTTGGAAGATTTTTAATCACAGTTTCAATTTCATTACTTGTGATTGGTCTGTTCATATTTTCTATTTCTTCCTGGTTCAGTTTTGGAAGGTTATACCTTTCTAAGAATGTGTCTATACCTTTCTAAGAATGTGTCTGTTTCTTCCAGGTTGTCCATTTTATTGGCATAGAGTTGCTTGTAGTAATCTCTTAGGATACTTTGTATTTCTGCAGTGACTGTTGTAACTTCTCCTTTTTCATTTCTAATTTTATTGATTTGAGTCCTCTCCCTCTTTTTCTTGATGAGTCTGGCTAATGGGTTATCAATTTTGTTTATCTTCTCAAAGAACCAGCTTTTAGTTTTATTGATCTTTGCTCTTGTTTTCTTTGTTTCTATTTCATTTATTTCTGCTCTGATCTTTATAATTTCTTTCCTTCTACTAACTTTGGGTTTTGTTTGTTCTTCTTTCTCTAATTCCTTTAGGTGTAAGTTTAGCTTGTTTGAGATTTTTATTGTTTCTTGAGGTAGGCTTGTATTTCTATAAACTTCCCTCTTAGAACTGCTTTTGCTGCATCCCATAGATTTTGGATCGTCATATTTTCATTGTCATTTGTCTCTAGGTAGTTTTTGATTTCCTCTTTGATTTCTTCAGTGATCTCTTGGTTATTTAGTAACGTATTGTTTAGCCTCCATGTGTTTGTTTTTTTTACATTTTTTTCCCCTGTGATTGATTTCTAATCACATAGCATTGTGGTCAGAAAAGATGCTTGATATGATTTCAATTTTCTTAAATTTACTGAGGCTTGATTTGTGACCCAAGATGTGATCTATTCTGGAGAATGATCCATGAGCACTTGAGAAAAAAGTGTAATCTGCTGTTTTTGGATGGAATGTCCTATAAATATCAATTAAATCTATCTGGTCTATTGTGTGTCATTTAAAGCTTGTGTTTCCTTATTAATTTTCTGTTTGGATGATCTGTCCACTGATGTAGGTGAGGGGTTAAAGTCCCCCATTATTATTGTGTCACTGTCGATTTCCTCTTTTATAGCTGTTAGTGGTTGCCTTATGTATTGAGGTGCTCCTATGTTGGGTGTATATATATTTATAATTGTTATATCTTCTTCTTGGACTGATCCCTTGTTCATTATGTATGTTCTTCCTTGGCTCATGTAACATTCTTCATTTTAATGTCTTTTATATGACATGAGTATTGCTACTCCAGCTTTCTTTTGATTTCCATTTCATGGAATATCTTTTTCCACCCCCTCACTTTCAGTCTGTATGTGTCCCTAGGTCTGAAGTGGGTCTCTTGTAGACAGCATGTATATGGGTCTTGTTTTTGTATCCATTCAGTGAGCCTGTGTCTTTTTGTTGGAGCATTTAATCCATTCACGTTTAAGGTAATTATCAATATGTATGTTCCTATTACCATTTTCTTAATTGTTATGGGTTTATTTTTGTAGGTCATTTTCTTCTCTTATGTTTCCCACTTAGAGAAGTTCCTTTAGCATTTGTTGTAAGCTGGTTTGGTGGTGCTGAATTCTCTTAGCTTTTGCTTGTCTGTAAAGCTTTTGATTTCTCCATCAAATCTGAGTGAGATCCTTGCCAGGTAGAGTAATCTTGGTTGTAGGTTCTTCCCTTTCATCACTTTAAGTATATCATGCCACTTCCTTCTGGCTTGTAGAGTTTCTGCTGAGAAATCAGCTGTTAACCTTATGGGAGTTCCCTTGTATGTTATTTGTCATTTTTCCCTTGTTGCTTTCAATAATTTTTCTTTGTCTTTAATTTTTGTCAATTTGATTACTATGTGTCTCAGCGTGTTTCTCCTTGGGTTTATCCTGCCTGGGACTCTCTGCGCTTCCTGGACTTGGATGGCTATTTCCTTTCCCATGTTAGGGAAGTTTTTTGACTATAATCTCTTCAAATATTTTCTTGGGTCCTTTCTCTCTCTCTTCTCCTTCTGGGACCCCTATAATGCAAATGTCGGTGAGTTTATTGTTGTCCCAGAGGTCTCTTAGGCTGTCTTCATTACTTTTCATTCTTTTTTCTTTCTTCTGTTCCATGGCAGTGAATTCCACCATTCTGTCTTCCAGGTCACTTATCCGTTCTTCTGCCTCAGTTATTCTGCTATTGATTCCTTCTAGTGTATTTCTCGTTTGAGTTATTGTATTGTTCATCTCTGTTTGTTTGTTCTTTAATTCTTCTAGGTGTTTGTTCTTTAATTCTTCTAGGTCTTTGTTAAACATTTCTTGCATCTTCTCAATCTTTGCCTCCATTCTTTTTCCAAGAATGGATCATCTTCACTATCATTATTCTGAATTCTTTTTCTGGAAGGTTGCCTATCTCCACTTCATTTAGTTGTTTTTCTGGGGTTTTACCTTGTTCCTTCATCTGGTACAGTGTCCTCTGTCTTTTCGTTTTGTCTATCTTTCTGTGAATGTGGTTTTCCTTCCACAGGCTGCAGAATCGTAGGTTTTCTTGCTTCTGCTGTCTGCCCTCTGGTGGATGAGGCTATAAGCTTATAGGATAGATGATTGCTACAGGGGCTCTTTCTTGATCTGTGTCTCAACAAGTGGCACCTATCTATCTTTTTGATTATAGCCATCCTAGCGGCTATGAAGTGAAATCTTTTTTATTATAAAACATATTTAAACATATAAGGAGAGAAAACAGTGTTATGAACGCTCATGTACCCACCATCCAGTTTTAACAATTATCAACATCTTTTTAATCTTATTAGTGACTTTTAACAGTTTTATTGAGGTATAGTTGACATACAGTAAACTGTATGTATTCCAGGTATACAATTTGATAGGTCTTGAGAGGTGTATATACCCATGAAATGATCACCACAATGAAGATAGTAGACATATCCATACCCACAAAAGTGCCATTTATAATCGCTCCCTCCTACTTTTTCCTGCCTCATCCCCAAGCAACCACTGTGTTACTACAGATTAGTTTCCATTTTCAAGAGTTTTATATATATGGAATAATATATTATGTACTCTTTTGTCAGGCTTCTTTCATTCAGCATGGTTATTTTGAGATTCATCTATTTCAAGTGTATCAGTAATCTATTCCTTTTTATCACTGATTCCATTCTATACATATACCACTATTTGATTTATGCATTCACCTGTTGATCAATATTTGGGTTTGTTTTTTTCGTTCCTTTCCAGGGCTATTACAAATAACACTGCTATAAACATTCATATGTAAGTCTTTATGTGGACATATACTTTCTTTTCTTTTGGATAAATATCTAGGAGTGGAATAACTGGATCGTATGTTAGGTGTATGTTTAACTTCCTCAGAAACTACCAGACTGTTTTCCGAGTAGTTGTATCATTTTACATCCCTACCAGCAATGTATGGGAATTCCAATTGTTGCACATCCTCACCAGTCTCTTTAATTTCAGTCATTCTAGTGAGTGTGAGGTACTACCTTTCTGTGCTTTTAATTGACATTTACTTGATGACGAATGACACTGAGCATCTTTCATTTGTTTATTGTCCATTTGTATATATTCTTTTCTGAAGTGTCTGTTCAAATTTTTTTACCCATATTTAATCAATTATTTGTTACATTATTTTCCTCTAGTCAGAATTTTTATACTGTTTGAGTAGAATAAAAGCTAAATTTTCTGACTCACCAAATTGGGCTTCATTTAGACTTTATTTTTAATCTCAAATTGCCAGTAAAGCTAGCTGGTCATTAGTGACTCTAGATTGCTCTCAGACTTGTTCTGCTAATGGACAGAAATGTTTGATTCTACATGGGTTACGCTGCCTCCTAATTTTTGGAAATAAAGTACGACACAAAAATATCTAGCGCATTATCATCTCACAGTGAGTACCTTTTCTGCTAGATTTGTAACGCAGGATTTGAGGTGGGGGGAGAGAAAGAGAAATAATAGTTGTACTGCCCCCACCTGCCAAAAGAAATTTAAACAAGCAAACAAAGACTAGCATTATCTGCTTTAAATTTGTTTTGAAACTTTTCTCTACATAAATCCTAGCCCCTCTCAGTTGTCACCTCCATTTCCTTCCTTAACCCTCCCACCAGTGCTTTAATAGAGAACAAACCAGAAGGCATTCTAGAATGTTTTTTCACCAATCAGAAGTAATGGAATGAAATCCAAGACCCTGTTCGGAAGATACGGAACTCTTGTCCCTCGTCTTTCCTCATGCCCTGTACCTACGATTAGTTTTGTCTCATAGCTGAATTTCTAATTTCCAGCATTCCCAAACCATTTTACAAACATCCTTTGATTATTAAGTCTTACAATACTCTAGTCAGGTGAGTATATGTGTTCATTTTATTTTGTGTGAGTAAACAGAAGATTTTAAAGATCAAATTACTTCTCTATGGTTTATTACTTTTCTTAGACAACAGTATACAAGAAATTGACTAATCTGAACTTTAGAAATTGTTTGAACATTCAGATCAGGACAGTCACCATGGATGTATAAGTCGTTGTATCCCTAATTCCTTACGTTTTTAGCCCTACAAAAGAATTCTATATGTCAGCTCCTTTCTCCCCTCTTCATCCCACTTCTGAGAAAGATAAAATTATTTGTGAGTGGCCTAGGCAATATTTGACCTTTCTGATGCTCCTTTCTGGCATTTAATGTCATGATGTTTAACTTTCATGCCAAAGTAGGTTTTAATTTGTTTGGGCTTCTTTATTTTGTTTTTTGAGACTCTTTTCAAGGGTAAAGGAAATATTCAGCATAATATAGTAAGAAGAATTTTCTCCCATCTTCTCTACAGAGAATCCCTTGTCAACCTAATGAAGCATTCAAAGAAGACATCTGACTCTTTTCAAGACGAACTTGAAGATTATATCAAAGTGCAGAAAGCCAGAGGCTTAGAGCCAAAGACTTGTTTCAGAAAGATGAGAGAGGATTATTTGGAAACCTGTGGATACAAAGAAGAGGTTGATTCTAGACCCAGGTGTAGAATGTTTGATCAAAGACTCCCTCATGAACCCGTCCAGACCTACCGAAGACCGTGCAATATTTCACAAGCAGTAGAGAAGCGGTTACCTCAGTGGCTACCAGCTCATGACAGCAGGCTGAGACTAGACTCCCTGAGCTACTGTCAATTCACCAGGGACTGTTTCTCAGGAAAACCAGTAGCCCTGAACTTTAGTCAACAAGAGTATAACTGTAGCTCATACAGTGTAGAATCTGGAGTTTACAGGCACCTCTCCTTAGAAAACAGTACCAGTGCCCATCAAGCTAGTTATAAACAGATACATCAGAAGAGAAAAAGGCACCCAGAGGAAGGCCGGGAAAAACCAGAAGGGGAGTGGCCCAAGCATAAGAGGAAGAAAGCTTCTGAGGAAATAGATTTAGACAAACACAAGAGCATCCAAAGAAACAAAACAGAGGTGGAAACAGTCAGAGTCAGTACAGAAAAGCCTAAGAACCAAAAGGAGAAAAAAAGCCGAGATGTAGCCTCTAAGAAAGAGAAACGTAAGCGTAGAAAAGAGAAAAAGGAACTAGGGAAGGAAAGGACAGAAGAGGAGATGCTTTGGGACCAGTCTATCCTCGGATTTTGAAGCTTTTGCATTGGTTCTCCTGAGGTTAAACTGAAAAAATAGTTGAGGAGCTTGGTTTTACGATGTCCACGTTCATATCACTCTTTTCATGTGAACAGGTACAAAGGCTAAGTGAACAGAAAACATTTAATGTACTTGCTCTCCAACATGGAAATTACTTTACTTCTCTTCTAAAATCATTACTACATTTTTTTTATACATAATGTAATTTCCCTTAATGAGGGTGGCACTGCTTTTGTTCATCAAATTGCTATGATGGTGGAAGCATTTTTCCCTTGGGAGGTCATTTACTTTAAATTGGAGGATTAATAGGCTTTACAGAATCTGTTTCTTGATTGGCTTTTAGTTTGGGGTGGGTGTTTTTATATTAGTTTTCTCTGTGAAGCAGTTTAGATTGATTTATTTTTTCCTTCATTAGATCTAACTTGCAGTATATTTTCTAGATTGGAAAGTGGAAAATGACATACATTATAATAAGCTTAAGTTACATACCGCTTTAAACGTTTCAAGAAGTCTTGATACAAAATCAGTTTATATTCTGGAAATGTTTATAATATAATAAAGTTCTAATTTCTACAATTTTTTTTTTCTAATTTCTACATTTTTGAACACACAGTGATGTGTTCCTATTCAACGAAGATTTTCTTGTGGAACAGCAATAACAGCATATATAAACCCACTTTTTAGGGCAGAAATTTGAACGACCACAATTTTTCCAAATAGTTGAAATTGGGGAATTTATAAGAAAATGCCATTAGAGGGACTTCCCTGGCAGTCCCGTGGTTAAGAATCCAAGCTTCCACTGCAGGGGGCACAGGTTCCAACCCTGGTCAGGGAACTAAGATCCCCCATGGTGCGTGATGTGGCAAAAAAAAAAAAAAGCCATTGGAATATTCTTTCCTGACCAGTGTTTTCATTCTGATAATCCACTTTTTTACGATAAGCATATCAAGTGTTTGAGCACTGCTATTTTGTTGTAGAAAGAGTGGTGACCTGGGAATCTGAATCCCAGGATTCTAGACTCAACTATGCCATCAAGTTGTTATGTGACTTTGGGGAATTCCCTTTATTTTCCTCATTATCAAATATACCTAGAAGGACTGGCCTCTAAAATGCCTTGGATAACAACAAGATGCTGTGATATGAAAACTCTCTTTGCATTCTACAGTGTTGTGCTTACATGTTTATTGTAATATTAACTTTAAAATTATTTTGCTTAAATTATTTTTAATCATACATATTCCCTTCCCCTACTCAACCCTCTGCATGTAACCAATCTCACCACCCTTGCTAGGCTGCTGCCTTACTCAGCTCTGACCCCTCTCTGGGTCCCCACCTTGCCTAGCTTCCTACCTCAGTGGGTCCCAAATAGCAAAGAAGAAAGGAAGGAGGGCTTCCCCGGTGGCGCAGTGGTTAAGAATCCGCCTGCCAATGCAGGGCACATGGGTTCAAGCCCTGGTCCAGGAAGATCCCACATGCCACAGAGCAACTAAGCCCGTGCGCCGCAACTACTGAGCCTGCGCTCTAGAGCCCGTGAGCCACAACTACTGAGCCCGCGTGCCACAACTACTGAAGCCTGCGCGCCTAGAGCCCCTGCTCCGCAACAATAGAAGCCACCGCAATGAGAAGCCCGCGCACCGCAACAAAGAGTAGCCCCTGCTCGCCGCAACTAGAGAAAGCCCGCGCGCGGCAACAAAGACCCAATGCAGCCAATAAATAAATAAAAATAAATAAATAAAATACATTTAAAAAAAAAGAAAGGAAGGAAGGGGAAGAGGGAGAGAGGGTACGTGACCCGTTTTATTTTACACTAATGACCGCAACCCTCCAACCCATCAGGCTTCCCTAGTAAATTTCCCATCCTCAGAGATGTCTTATATTTTCCCCTCTCTCCTCAAACCTTCCCCTCCCTGGTACCTGCCATACAGGGCCCCCTTTCTCTCAGCTGATGACCTCACCTCACACTCCAGTGAGCAAAACAGAAGCCTTCAGAGGGGGACTTATTCATTGTCCTACCACTGGATCTATAAACTTCCCTCAAGTATTCTGTTCTCTGTCTTCTGTACAATAATAGTGTCCCTGCTCTTAATAAAGACAAATCCCTCCCCTCATGCACTGAATCCTACACCCTTTTACCTTTTCAAGGACTTCATCTCTCTCCTGCACCTTGAATCTCTCCTCTACTGGATTATTCCTTTATATGCAAACAAGCTTCTGTTTCCCCTCTTCAAAAAACAAAGCAAACAAACAGAAAAACAAAACTCCCTCGACACCCTACATCCTCTTTCAGCTATCTCCTTTCTCTTTCACATCAAACTTGTCTACAACAGCTGTCTGTACTCACACCTCTAATTCTCACCTCCACCTATTCTAGTTGCTGTTCCTACCATTCCTCTGAGGCTGCTCTTATCAAAGTCTCCAATGACTTCCATGTTGTCAAATCCAATGGATATTTTTTATTTGTATTCAATTCAGCCTCTCAGCAGCTTCCATTTGGTCAATCATTCCCTCTTCCTTGAAACATTCCTCTCTCAGCTTGCATAGCACCACATTCTGATTTTTCCCTACCTCCATAGCTGCTGCTCCTTATGGGCTCATTTACTGGTTCCTCTTCCACCCACCTCTAAATGCCTCATGTATATTGCATCAGGAGCCAATCCCAGACCACCACTCTTTTCTAATCGCACATCCTAAGTGATCTCATCCAGGCTCATGGCTTTAAATTTACCTGTATGTTGATTTGTGGACTGAATGTTTGTGTCATCCCCCAAATTCATATGCATCTAATCCCCAATGTAATGGTATATGGAGCAGGTACCTCCCTACCTTTGGGAGGTAATTAGGTCATGAGGGTGGAGCCCTCACAAATGGGCTTAGTGCCCTTATAAGAAGAGGTCAGAGAGCTAGCTGAGCCACCCAGTCTATGGTAACGTGTTACAGCAGCCCAAACTAAGACAGTTGATGACCTCTACATTTCTATTTCTAGACTAGATTTTCCCCCTGAGTTCTAGACTCATAACCAATTGCATTTGTTGTTATTTCCAACTAGAACACCAAAAGGGCACTTACATCCCTCGTCACCAGTCATTCTTCCCTCAGTCTTCCTCATCTCTGCAAATAACAGCACCATCTTGATTGTTCAAGCCAAAAATCACTAAAAGCACACGACTCTCTCCTACATCAGAGCCATCAGTGATTCCTCCTGGTTATATCACCAAATTCTCTCTCCTATTGTCCAATTCTCCCCATCTTCATTGCCACCACCCTGACCCAAACCATCATTTATCTCTGGTATTATTTTGGTTTTATTTGTACCAAACAGGACTAATAGGTCTGAGAGAAGCTGAAAACTGGGAGAAGTCATCAGAGGCTCTGAGTTGGTGAGCGCAAAACCAGCAACAGGAGTACTGAGAGACCAAATAGTATCATGGTCATCTAGCACTGAGGATTTCAAAAATATTCAGCAAATATTTCCTTCCAGAAAGACAAAGCCTTACCTGTAAAGAAAACTGCTAGGCTAAGAAACCTAATAGATCAGGGAAGTCACACCAGAGGTAAGGGAAAGA